CATTCTGTCTCTAGGCGCAACGTAATAATTAATAGAAAAAAAGACGAGAACGCTCGACCTTTCTGAAAACAATACAAATCTTTAGCATAGCATCTTGTGATCACTCTGCCAGGCTTTCGGACCAATGGGCTTTGGCTAAATCACATCATAAACATGCTTTTAATTCTTAATAAATTAAAAGAACATATTCAAATATGAGCCTTTACTGTTAAATGCGATTGCGTTATTATTGAATTTCGTTAGTCCCAGTTATGATTTTTGCACGGCTGTTCACGGAAAAGTGAGCAAGACACGACAGTTACAATATATTATGATTGTTAAAAAAAAAAAAGACATCTAACCGTCATATCCAAATTAGGCTACATTTATTGTCATATGTCAAATATCTCAATATACATCATTAAATGACATTAATCACAATTTGCGTAGATTTATTTAGTAAAAAGGTTTGACTGCTTCATTTTGGCGTATATTTGTATACTTTTACCATTCAATCAATCTCAGCATGCGTTAATTTTGTGTCGCTAGACATTTGCATCACTAATGCTAAATTATGCCTTATTGCCTTTTATGCCTAAGTCTTTCTTTGGCCTGCGCTCTGGAAGTGATTTGTTAATTCTGCTACACTTTAATTAAAACTGAAACTAAACTATATAAAAACTAAATAAAAATGCGTTCACAAAATAAAAATTAAACTAAAACTAACAACAATATTAATGAAACTAATAAAAACTAAACTGAATTGTATAGCAAATTTGAAAACGATATTAAAATAAAATTAATTAAAAAATTCAAAACTATAATAACCTTGGTTCCAACCCCTCTGTCTAACTGCTTCCTCACAGTCACAGCGCTATCTGCCTCCCAGAAGGCCACCAACAGAGCCGTATTGGTTCCATGGTGTAATGGTTAGTGTGCTGGACTTTGAATCCAGTGACCCGAGGTCAAATCTTGGTGGAATCTGCGTGCTTTGTTGCGGCAGGAAAATAAAAAAAAAAGTACATGTTTGGTGGGGGTTCTGCTCGCGAGCCTGTAAGCGATTTAGTCTTTGCGGCCCTGTGAGCAGCAGCTGCTTTTGTCTTGGTTCCATGGTGTAATGGTTAGCACTCTGAGCTCTGAATCCAGCGATCCGAGTTCAAATCTTGGTGGGACCTGTTTAGCCACCAATTTGCACAGGACCCGATATGAAATACTTTTTGGCAGCAGTGAGCACCAAAAGCTCACGTAGGTCGTTCCTCTTTGCGGCGTCAACGCACAGTCTGTCTCTATAGGGAAGTGAGCGTAAAAGGGCACGACCCAGCTTGGAGAATGCAGGCGTTGATCCCACTTCCTCTCGCATGCTAAGCAAGCCCTCTACCATTTGAGCTAATTCCCCTGTCAGAGGTGGAGCGACTTCCATCGCTCCAAAAGACACCTTCGAAGAGTGAACGCTATTATTACAGGCTTGGAGAAAAGTGGCCATCTCTCCTCTGTTTTGGCACCTTTGCACTGGCCGCCATTTAGTTGTAGAATTAACAGAGAGATTGTGCTTTTGTTTTTAAGGCCCTTCTTGGTATTGTTACCCCAGTATATACGTGTGTGGATTCTTGTATTACGTAGGCTACCTTTGGATCACTCAGGTCGTGCAGCCAACTTCTCCCCTCTGTTTCCCACAGGGACATCTGACCGCTTCAGCTGTCCTTCCTAAGATCCCTCTACATGTTTGGTTCAGCCCCAATTTTAAATCCATTCAGAGGCCAACTTTCATTCATTTGCCTTTGACACTGTCTCGAGGTGTTTGATTACTTCCATGTTAGTTCATGTTCCTTCTTTTGTTGTTGCTGTAGTTGTTATTTTTTCTCTGCTAGGCTTTTGCACAGGCCGACTTGTTGGTCTAGGGGTATGATTCTTGCTTTGGGTGTGAGAGATCCTGGGTTGAAATCACGGACGAGCCCGTGGTGACTCTTGGTCCTGAAGCTGTTGTATCTCTTTAGGGTCACGAGCAATAAGGAAGTTTTGGGTAAACTGGGCAAAGGCCCACACAAAGCCAGGCCGGTTAGCTCAGTTGTTTCGAGTGTTGTGCTAATAACACCAAGGTTGAGGGTTGGATCCCCACACGGGCCAGCCTCTTTTGTTCTGTGGGAGCTCAGCTATCCGCTTCTGGAAAAGTGAAGGGTGGTCTCATGGAAATCCCCGCTGCCTAAACAGCTTGCTGCTGTGGCCGAAATAGCTCAGTTGGGAGAGTGTTAGACTTAAGAACTAAAGGTCCTGGGTTTCAGCAGATGTCAACTACCGGGAGCTCAGCTATCCGCTTCTGGAAAAGTGAAGGGTGGTCTCATGGAAATCCCCGCTGCCTAAACAGCTTGCTGTTGTGGCCGAAATAGCTCAGTTGGGAGAGTGTTAGCCTTAAGAACTAAAGGTCCTGGGTTTCAGCAGATGTCAACTACCTTTTCCTTTTGTTCGAGGGGGCCAGTGCCCAAAATTCACTGGGTTCCAACTCCTCTGTCTAACTGCTTCCCCACTGCCACAGCGCTATCTGCCTCCCAGAAGGCCACCAGCAGAGCCGTATTGGTTCCATGGTGTAATGGTTAGCACTGTGGACCCTGAATCCAGCGAGCCGAGTTCAACTCTCGGTGAGACCTGTTTTGCCACCAATTTGCGCAGGACCTGGTCTGAAATACTTTTTGGCAGCAGTGAGCGCCAAAAGCTCAAGTAGGGCATGCCTCTTCACGGCGTCAACGCACAGTCTGTCTCTAAACGGAAGTGAACGTAAAAGGGCAGGACCCAGCTTGGAGAATGCAGGCGTCAATCCCGCTTCCTCTCGCATGCTAAGCGAGCGCTCTACCATTTGAGCTGATTCCCCTGGCGGTGGTGGAGTGACTACCATCGCTCCAATAGACGTCTTCGAAGAGCGATCGCTATTATAACGGGCTTGAACAAAAGTTGCCATCTCTCCTTTGTGCTGGCACCTTTGCACTGGCTGCCATTTAGTTGTAGAATTAACAGGGAGATTGTGCTTTTGTTTTTAAGGCCCATCTTAAAAACCTTAAAAAGGTCCCGGGTTCAATTCCCGGATGAGCCCATGGTGAGGCTTGGTCCTGAAGCTGTTGTGTCTCTTTAAGTTCACGAGCAATCAGGAAGTTTTGGGTCAACTGGGCAGAAACCCAGCTAAAGCCAGACCTGTTTGCTCAGTTGTTTCGAGCATGGTGCTAAAAATGCCAAGGTCGCAGGATTGATCCTCGTACGGGCCAGTCTCTTTCGTTCTCTGCTAGCTCAGCTCTCCTCTTCTGGAAAAGTAACGGGTGGTCTCACGGAAATCCCAGCTGGCTAAACGGCTTGCTGTTGTGGCAGAAATAGCTCAGTTGGGAGTGTTAGACTGGAGATCTAAAGAACCCTGGTTCGATCCCGGTTTTCGACAGATGTCCTCTGCCTTTTCCTTTTGTTCGAGGGGGCCAGTGACCAAAATTCTCTGGGTTCACACTCCTCTTTCTAACTGCTTCCCCACAGCCACAGTGCTATCTGCCTCCCAGAAGGCCGACAGCAGAGCCGTGTTGGTTCCATGGTGTAATGGTTAGCGCGCTGGACTTTGAATCCAGTGATCTGAGTTCAAATCTCAGTGGTACCTGCGTGCTTTCTTGCGGCAGGAAAAAAATAATAATTACATGTTTGGTGGTGGTTCTTCTGGCGAATCTGATTTAGTCTTAGCGGCCCTGTGAGCAACAGATGCTTTTGTCTTGGTTCCTTGGTGCAATGGTTAGCATTTTGGACTCTAAATCCAGCGATCTGAGTTCAAATCTCGGTGGGACCTGTTTTGCCACCAATTTGCGCAGGACCCGGTCCGAAATACTTTTCGGCAGAAGTCAGCCCCAAAAGCTCACGTAGGGAGCGTCGCTTCGCGGCGTCAACACACAGTCTGTCTCTATAGGGAAGTGAGCATAAAAGGGCAGGACCCAGCTTGGAGATTGCAGGCATCGATCCCGCATGCTAAGCGAGTGCACTACCATTTGAGCTAATTTCCATGACAGTGGTGGAGTGACTTCTATCGCTCCAAAAGACGCCTTCGAAGAGTGAACGCTATTATAACTGGCTTGAAGAAAAGTGTCCATCTCTCTTCTCAGCTGGCACCTTTGCACTGGCCGCCATTTAGTTGCAGAATTAACAGAGAGATTGTGCTTTTGTTTTTAAGGCCCTTCTTCATCTTGGTACCCCAGTATATATGTGTGTGGATTCCTGTATTACGTAGGCTACCTTTGGATCACTCAGGTCATGCAGCCAACTTCTCCCCTTTGTTTCCCACACTGGCTTAAAGTCTAAGGGACATCTGACTGCTTCAGCTGTCCTCCCTAAGATCCCTCTACATGCTAGGTTCAGCCCCAATTTTAAATCCATTCAGAGGCCAACTTTCATTCGTTTGCTTTTTACACTGTCTCAAGGTGTTTGATTACTTCCATGTTAGTTCATGTCCCTTCTTTTGTTGTTGCTGTAGTTGTTCTTTTTTTCTCGGCTAGGTGTTTGTGTAGACCGGCTCATTGGTCTAGGGGTATGATTTTTGCTTTGGGTGTGAGAGGTCCTTGTGTCAAATCCCAGACGAGCCCGTGGTGAGGCTTGGTCCTGAAGCTGTTGTGTCTCATTAGGGTCACGAGCAATAAGGAAGTTTTGAGTCAATCGCATGCTAAGCGAGCGCTCCACAATTTGAGCTAATTTCCCTGGTCGTGGTGGAGTGACTTCCATCTCTCCAAAAGACACCTTCGAAGAGCGACCGCTATTATAACGTGCTTGAAGAAAAGTGGCCATCTCTCCTATGTGCTGGCACCTTTGCACTGGCCGCCATTTAGTTGTAGAATTAACAGAGAGATTGTGCTTTTGTTTTTAAAGCCCTTCTTAAAAACCTTAAAAAGGTCCCGGGTTCAAATCCCGGACGAGCCCGTGGTGAGGCTTGGTCCTGAAGCTGTTGTATCTCTTTAGGGTCACGAGCAATAAGGAAGTTTTGGGTCAATTGGGCAAAAACCCACACAAAGCCAGGCTGGTTAGCTCAGTTGTTTGAGTGTTGTGCTAATAACGCCAAGGTCGAGGGTTCGATCCCCGCACGGGCCGGCCTCTTTTGTTCTCTGGGAGCTCAGCTCCCGCTTCTGGAAAAGTGAAGGGTGGTCTCACGGAAATCCCCGCTGCCTAAACAGCTTGCTGTTGTGGCCGAAATAGCTCCGTTGGGAGAGTGTTAGACTGAAGAACTAAAGGTCCCGGGTTTCAGCAGATGTCAACTACCTTTTCCTTTTGTTCAAGGGGGCCAGTGCGCAAAATTCACTGGGTTCCAACCCCTCTGTCTAACTGCTTCCCCACTGCCACAGCGCTATCTGCCTCCCAGAAGGCCACCAGCAGAGCCGTATTGGTTCCATGGTGTAATGGTTAGCGTGCTGGACTTTGAATCCAGTGATCTGAGGTCAAATCTCTGTGGAACCTGCGTGCTTTGTTGCAGCAGGAAAAAAAAAAAAAGTACATGTTTGGTGGTGGTTCTGCTGGCGAGCCTGTAAGTGATTTAGTCTTTGTGGCCCTGTGAGCAACAGCTGCTCATGTCTTGGTTCCATGGTGTAATGGTTAGCACTGTGGACTCTGAATCCAGCGAGCCGAGTTCAAATCTCGGTGGGACCTGTTTTGCCACCAATTAGCGCTGGACCCAGTCTGAAATACTTTTCGGCAGCAGTGAGCGCCAAAAGCTCACATAGGGCATGCCTCTTCACGGCGTCAACGCACAGTCTGTCTCTAAAGGTAAATGAGCGTAAAAGTGCAGGACCCAGCTTGTAGAATGCAGGCATCAATCCCACTTCCTCTCGCATGCTAAGCGAGTGCTCTACCGTTTGAGCTAATTCCCCTGGCGGTGGAAGAGTGACTACCGTCGCTCCAAAAGACGCCTTCGAAGAGCGATCGCTATTATAACAGGTTTGAAGAAAAGTTGTCATATCTCCTATGTGCTGGCACCTTTGCACTGGCCGCCATTTAGTTGTAGAATTAACAGAGAGATTGTGCTTTTGTTTTTAAGGCCCTTCTTAAAAACCTTAAAAAGGTCCCGGGTTCAAACCCCAGACGAACCCGTGGTGAGGCTTGTTCCTGAAGCTGTTGTGTCTCTTTAAGGTCACGAGCAATAAGGAAGTTTTGGGTCAATTGGGCAAAAGCCCACACAAAGCCAGGTCGGGTAGCTCAGTTGTTCCGCACGTGGTGCTAATAACGCCAACGTTGTGGGTTCGGACCCCATACGGGCCAGCCTCTTTTGTTCTCTGGGAGCTCAGCTCTCCTCTTCTGGAAAAGTGACGGGTGGTCTCACGGAAATCCCCGCTGGCTAAGCAACTTATTGTTGTGACAGAAATAGCTCAGTTGGGAGAGCATTAGACTGAAGAACTAAAGGTCCCGGGTTTCAGCAGATGTCAACTACCTTTTCCTTTTGTTCGAGGGGGCCAGTGCCCAAAATTCACTGGGTTCCAACCCCTCTGTCTAACGGCTTTCCCACAGCCACAGCGCTTTCTGCCTCCCAGAAGGCCACCAACGGAGCCGTATTGGTTCCATGGTGTAACTCTGGACTTTTGGTAGTACCTAGGATAGCAAAGTCCACTAAAGGAGGTAGAGCTTTTTCGCATTTGGCTCCCAAACTCTGGAATAGCCTTCCTGCTAGATGAGCCCCAGATACAGATCCCCTGTAAAGACCTTGTCTCAGACGACCACCGGGACAAGACCACAGGAAACAGACGAGTCCTCTGCACAATGTGACATTACTGCAGCCTGGAATTGAACTGCTGGTTTCATCTGGTCAGAGGAGAACTGGCCCCCCGACTGACTGTTCAGTTGCTTTGACACAATCTGTATTGTTAAAAGCGCTATATAAATAAAGGTGACTTGACTTGACTTGTAATGGTTAGCATGCTGGACTTTGAATCCAGTGATCCGAGGTCATATCTTGGTGGGACCTGTTTTGCCACCAATTTGCGCAGGACCCGGTCCGAAATACTTTTCGGCAGCAGTGAGCCCCAAATATTATAACGGGCTTGAAGAAAAGTGGCCATCTCTCTTCTGTGCTGGCAACTCTGCACTGGCCGCCATTTAGTTGCAGAATTAAAAGAGAGATTGTGCTTTTGTTTTTAAGGCCCTTCTTGGTACTGTTACCCCAGTATGTATGTGTGTGGATTTCTGTATTACGTAGGCTACCTTTGGATCACTCAGGTCTATAGGGTCACTATAGGGTGTTACATTTTACCACCCTGTCTGCGCCCGATCTCGTCTGATCTCGGAAGCTAAGCAGGGTCAGGCCTGGTTAGTACTTGGATGGGAGTCCGCCTGGGAATACCAGGTGCTGTAAAATTTTGCATTTTCTTCACTACTTATCTAATACACTGGCCTATAGGGTGGCTGATCTTTAAACAGCCTACTCTTTGTGGCAGGCCTGTCTTACGGCCATACCACCCTGTCTGCGCCCGATCTTGTCTGATCTCGGAAGCTAAGCAGGGTCGGGCCTGGTTAGTACTTGGATGGGAAACCGCCTGGGAATACCAGGTGCTGTAAGCTTTTGCGTTTTCTTCACTACTTATCTAATACACTGGCCTATAGGGTGGCTGATCTTTAAATAGCCCACTCTTTGTGGCAGTCCCCGCTTATGGCCATACCACCCTGTTCTCACCCGATCTCGTCTGATCTCGGAAGCTAAGCAGGGTCAGGCCTGGTTAGTACTTGGATGGGAGTCCGCCTGGGAATACCAGGTGCTGTAAAATTTTGCATTTTCTTCACTACTTATCTAATACACTGGCCTATAGGGTGGCTGATCTTTAAACAGCCTACTCTTTGTGGCAGGCCTGTCTTACGGCCATACCACCCTGTCTGCGCCCGATCTTGTCTGATCTCGGAAGCTAAGCAGGGTCGGGCCTGGTTAGTACTTGGATGGGAGACCGCCTGGGAATACCAGGTGCTGTAAGCTTTTGCGTTTTCTTCACTACTTATCTAATACACTGGCCTATAGGGTGGCTGATCTTTAAACAGCCTACTCTTTGTGGCAGTTCCTGCGTACGGCCATACCACCCTGTCTGCGCCCGATCTCGTCTGATCTCTGAAGCTAAGCAGGGTCGGGCCTTGTTATTAATTGGATTGGAGACCGCCTGGGAATACCAGGTGCTGTAAACTTTTGTGTTTTCTTCACTACTTATCTAATACACTGGCCTATAAGGTAGCTGATCTTTAACCACTTAATCTGCGCCTCTATTTTTGAGCATTTTCTGAAAAACGACATACCCAAATAAAAATGTCTGTAGCTCTTGAACCCTATGGTCTATATTTATAAATCTGGTATTGTTTGAAACTAGACACTTGAACCTTTGTTACTCTGGAGTCATAATAACTCAAAATTAGTATAGCAACAGAGTAAAACAAGGTAAAATGTACATGAAAGTGACTCACGATATCTATGAATGAAATCCACTAAGGGAAAAATGGATGAGGCTTTGATGCCAAAGGCCTGAAAACACCATAAAGATAGCTGAATGTCTGACCATATTTTGATTCAAATTTGAAGATGATACTCCCAAAAATGTAGTTTCTGTAAGCTTTTATTTAAATAAAAGTCTAGGCGTTTTTTCAAAATAGCCATTTGGAGACTCCAAATGGACACCTGGTAACCAAATGAGGCAAAACTACATAATGCATATATGTATATCAATTCAGAACTGCTCTGCCCACCATAACACACAAGAAAAAACTATTTCTGAACAGCATTTGTAGTGTTGACTCATTTGGTCATTTGGTTACCAGGTCTCCAAATGGCATTTTTGAAAGGACGCCTAAACTTTTCCTGAAATAAAAGCTGAAATAAAACATTTTTTTAGGTAAAAACTTGCGGAAAGTGCATCTTTATGGTATTTTAAATAAAAGCTTAGGAAAAGTCATTTAGATCTTTTATTTCAAGAAAAGTCTAGGAATCCTTTCAAAAAGGCTATTTAGAGACTCCATATGGCACTGCATACTACATATACTACATAGGCTATATGTATATCAATTCAGAATTCATCTACCCATGAAACCACACACAAACACAAAACTATCTCAGAACAACATTTGAACATTCTAACTAAACTATGTATTTTGAACAATTCAAATAATGAAAACAGTGAACCAAAACAGATTTGATCAGTGATCATTTTAGAGCTAAGGAACACACAAAACATGCAAAATAATTTTTTTTTTACATTTGTAATTGTAATTTTTTTCTCTGCTAATTATTATGAATATCCAGTTACTGAAAAACTAAAGCAACTATTTACAGTATTTACAGTGTAGGAAGTAGGGCTGCACGCTAAATCGCACGTGATATTTAACTCGCATCTTATCAGAAAGCCGGTTCTGTAATCAGCGGTAAATCTCCATCACCTGCGGGCTTTCACATTGAGCAGCATTAACTACACAGAGCCGTTGTTCACTGACGAGCTGCACAAAACCACGTTCATATTCGCGCGATTTTTTGCGCAGCTCGTCAGTGAACAATGGCTCTGTGTAGTTAATGCTGCTCAATGTGAAAGCACGCAGGTGGAGATTTACCGCTGATTACAGAACCGGCTTTCTGACAAGATGCGCATTAAATATCGCATGCGATTTA